AGCTTTTTAAATATTAATATATAATTGTAATGAACAAACTCCACTACATGTAATTATAGTATCTATTAAATAAAGTATGCCAATTCACGTTTAAAAAAAAAAAAAAAAAAATTGATTAGTTTAACTAATCTAATTTTCATCAAAAATAATACAAAAATCTTAGTGATTTCATGATCCTGTAATCAGATTTTAGCTATTTTGAGCTTGTTTTAATTGTCTCTTCAAGATAGTTATTTTGGTGATAAAATTATTAAAAACAAACTAATCTATCAAAAATAATTTACAATTTTATGTTGATTTCAAGATTTGCTTTACACAGGTTATTTTGGTTAGGGCAGTGTCATTTATCACCTGATTATTTTTTATCAGAGGCTTACTCCCCTCCTTAATATAAAAAAAATCAGGTTCTTATATATAATTTTAACTTTTTTACCCTCTTCCTCCCTAAAAAATCATCTGATTTTTGTCACGTCTCTTATATGATGATATCTTATAAACTATAAGCCAGAAATACATAATTTTAGTACTATTCAATTCTTCTCAATAAGACAAATTAAATGATATCAAAATCATGTGATTCTGATCAATAGTTTATAAGATATATTAGATATCATTAATATACTAAATTAGATATATCACAAATTAGAAATATATTTTTTAGATAAAATTAATAAGTAATATCTTATAATTTAGTAATCTAAATCGAATAATTTTGGTACTATTTGATTCATCTTGATAAGATAAATCGAATGATACCAAATTATTTAATAAAATTTAGCTATGCCAAATTAGGTATATCTATCTTATATTCTAAATAAATTTGTCTGAAAAATTAATATTTTTTAAATAAAATAAATATTTATTATAGAATATATTCTTGAAAATATATTTTATAATCTTTATTATAAAATTTTTTTAAGTTATTAATAAACTTTTGAATAATAAAATTTTAAAGTTTTAGTTTAAAAATTTTTATTACAGTTAAACTTTTCTAAATGCAATCTCTATAAATACAATATCTCTCTAAATGTATATTTTTGTTTTGACTATATGAAATTATTAGTGCTAAAAATAAGTTCTATATTCTGCAAAGGATTTTTTTTTTTGGTGTACCTGCATCATGGTGCACTTCTTCTATAATTAAAAACATATGGATCGACATGTATGGCACGTGACATTAGATCATATGCACAATGTGCACATGTCACATAATACTAGTGATTGACACTAATTCACATGATATATGGGTCATGGACTAGGAAAACAGCCCTTTGAAGAGGAGTTTCTATTTTAAGAAAATGACAATTATAGTTTGTGTTATCTAAATTTCTGTTGTTTTTTTCCCCTGAATTTTTGTTTTATTTTTAGACATCCAATCATTTGATATAAAATTAATCAATAATTTAATCACATGTTTATAATTTGATCACGTGTTTATCGTGTTTATTCGTCGTCTTTAAGATTTTTATAATGTCTTTAAGCGAAAATAAGGAAAATGAAAATTTTCCATTACCTATGTCTTTAGAGCAGCTAGATTTAAGTGAATATGAAGATAACGAGTTAGTACAAGAAGTTGCACAAGATCTATGGATATTTTTTCAATCCAAAAATTGCGAATGCCGAATGAGAAATACCTATCAATGTTTTGAAAAAGTTGGATTTAAACGATTTTTTGAACAACATATGCAATTTCGTAGCCTAGATAAAAAAGAACTAGATTTGGTTTTAATAGGTCAGCTTATGGCATTTGAGTATAATCAAACAAATAAAAATGCTAAACAGAAATTTAATTATCAGTTTAATAACGATATTAAACTCTGTAAAAATACATATCTTAAGTTAATTGGAGTTGGAAACAGATATCTAATTCAAATTAATAAGAGTTTAATAAATAAAGGATTAGTTAAACGATTACATGGCAATACAAAGCGAATTTCTAATATAAAAAGCCGTACTAAAATTGATCAAACGGTATCAACTTTAGTTTCAACATTTATAAGTAATTATGCTAACGTTCACAGATATCCTTCTCCAGGTCGACATTTACAACACGATACACAATCGATAATTTATTTGCCAACTGACAAAGACTATACAAAAGTATATGATAATTTTATCGAATGTCTTAATGTTTTTCCTGAAAAACTATTCGATAAAATTAGTTGTAAAAGTTTTGTTCGTATTTGAAAAGAGTTATTACCGTATATTAAATTTATAACGCCTGGTACAGATTTATGTGAAACATGTGAAATGTTAAAGGCTGAAATTCGATATGCAAATTATAGTGAAGAAAGAGAATTAATTCAAAAAAGATTAGATGATCATAAACAAAAAGCAGAAATAGAACGAGATTATTATCATAATAACATTTTAACAAGTACAATCTTACCTGATACAGCGCATGTATATTACGATTGGGCACAAAATGTTCTAGTGCCTTATTTTCCTCAACAAATCGGTGTGACATATTTTAAATCTGCATTTTAGACTTATATTTTTGGTATTTGTAATACTGGACAAAATCCAGCTCAACAATTAAATTATATAATTGCTGAGAATGAATTTCCCCAAGAAACAGGTAAAGGAGCTAATACAACAATTAGTCTTGTTTACAATGGGTTGCAACGATTTCATAATCACGAAAAATATT